TCATTTTGATCGAAAAATGTTTTTTTGTAATTCAAAAAACAAGTATAGTTCAGTATAGTTAATATAGTTTCTGAAAAAATGAAAGTGCTTTTTTTCACCATGTTAAAAAAATAGAACACAAACAAGGATAATCATAAAAACGATAGTTGACAGTATGACAATTAGTTGTCAATTTTATAACATTAAGAGCTGTTTATTGAACATTACAGATATGACATTATACATAATCATTGTTGTTTATCAAAAAAAGAAAATGAAAGTGCTTTTTTTCACCCCCTTTCATTTTTTGAGTAAAATAAGAAATGATATTGAAAAAATGTATTTTTGTTAAATTTGAGTACTCCTCTTTATTATAAACAACATTTGTATTGGCAGCAAACTATACACAATCATGAGTATCAAAGTTATGGTCACACAATCATTTTTTAAATTTATTTTCTTGATAACATGAAAAATAGAAAATAAAGAGTCAATTGTTACATAAAGAAACGGGAAATCACCCAAATTTTATAAATATATATTGCGATTAGATGTCAAATTGTTGGAGAATAATAAAGACAATTTTTCGAAACACTTCAAATTATAATTATTAATAAAATTAACCATTAATTATAATAAAAACGATAAATACAGCTGGTTTCAGAACTCAATAATCATGTCCAAACCACAGCGGAAACTCGCTTCAAAAAATTGGATTTGAGCGTGTTGCGCCACAGTACAAAATCGGGTCGTGGCTGTGATTTTTGGATTTCTGTGAAACCCATGCAACAGAAATCATGGAATGTCTAACACTCCAACAACAAATGAAATTGTTGAGAAGTGAAAAATGGCTTGAAAAGGTTTCAATTGAAACGAAAGCCAAAGTGTTGGGTGTCTCACCCTCGACGGCCCGCCTCAACAACTTGTATGACGATGTCGAAGGGAAGTCTGGAAGAAAACGAGAAATTAATCAATCGAGAATGCCGTTGTTGTTGGAAACAATTCGAGAAAGACAAAACACCACCAAACCAATCACCACCAAAAAGATGGGAAATGTTGCAGAAGGAGTTGTTGGGAAGAAAGTATCAAAAAGAACCATCGCAAACAGTTTGAGAAGGGAGGGTTTAATTAAGAAGATTGCAAAACCAATGGATAAAGAGAGAGCTGAGTAAGAATGAGTTAAGAAGCTATGAAACTAGAGCTGTTGATTTGTTGAACAATGACAAGCAATATGCCGGCGAAAGAGGTGTCCACTTGAATGGAGTTAAACCCTCCCTCCTTATCAACATGGACGAAAGTGGTTATTGTCCATTTGTGGACTCAAAAAGGAGCAACTTTTATGTTGACGACAACTATGACTACACCAACTCTTACTCTGTTGATCGCTCTCAAAAACGCATAACACTGATTGCAGGAATATTTGCCAACAACACCACGCTGAAACCAATGATCATACTATCAAACTTGACAATGAAAAATGAAATCGACAGATACATAGACAGAGATGATGTTGAAATTGCATATCAACGCAAATCCTTCGTTACGGAAGACATATACACGTTGTGACTTGAAAGATGTCTTTAATTAGAACTGGAATTAAGAAGAAAAAATTGCCCACAAGAATGGGCGGTTTTAATACAAGACAACTGTGTTAGCCACATTAAAGATGGTGCTAGAAAGTGGCTGTTCGAAAATAAAGTGGCTTTATTATTATTGTGCCCACACAGTAACCACTTGTCTCAGCCACTGGACGTTGTCATATTTGGCGTTCAAAAAGTTTGTTTTTTATTATGAGAGAAATTAGTGAAATGATATTATTATTCAAAGCCGTTATAAGTCTTGTTAACATGTTTACTTTTCTTTTATTGTTATTGACTGATAGAATGCAATGGGTTCTTCGGTAGTTTCTCGACTTGTTGGTATGAAGTACCCCGTTGGTGTTATGTCTCAAAAGGATGATGTTGAAGATGAAGTCAAGAAGGCTACAAAGCGAAGAAAAATGGAAATTTTAGAACACAAGGATCAAGATGGTGCAATAGATGCTGCTAAGTTGGAAGAGTTGTCTGTTTGTATGGTCACAAAAAGAGTCGTTGAAATCATCCATTCGTTTAAAATTGCCTGCGTAAACAACAACAACACCTCAGCCTTTCACATGTGTGGTTACGTAAAAAAGCCAATTGGAAAAGAAAAAGAGGGTACTTATGATGTCAGAATTTTTTACTGTAGGGAGTATGCCTTCAGAATACGAGAGTTTTTGGGCGAACAGGTTTGCGTAGTTCCCGTTGCCTTTCCTGGAAGAAGAAGCAACTTAAACATTGATAAAAACGAAGGCACTTCAAAATGATTGAAAATTTGTGTTATGTTTGATTTATTTTTTGAATATTTCCTGATAATTTCAATGTAAGTTGGGCTGACCTGTAAGGTTAATTAAAGTACACAAGTTCAAAAGGAATTCAAAATGAAATTTATTTTTATTATTCAATCATTGATAATATTATTTAAGTTTAAAATAATAAAAATATGGTTTTAAAAACGTCTTTTTAATACAATTGTCAAATTATGACATCTTGTAAACTTTAAGTTTTTACAGATCAACTCTGATTTTTACATATTTAACAGATCAATTAAACTGATATTTTTATTATTTACTCACGTTTAAGTAACAACTGCATTTTCCTTAATTATTATAACATCGACAATCTTTTTTTCACGACTGCTTATTATTGTTTGTTTTTTATTTCTCTTTATTCAATGTGTTTATCAATAGCTTTATTTGCTTTGGTTAAACCAATACTGGTTGTCAAAAAGGTGGAATTGTGGAGTTTGTTTACGTTTTGTTAATACAGAAAGTGTTGACCGTATAGGTTTAGCGTTTCTTTTGATGATTGGCTTTGTACTTGTTTAAAGCATAAAATACTCTTGCCATTGACTAGAGCATTCATCTAATTGAAACTTTTATCATCTTTTTGTTATTGTTTTTTGTTATTGTTTATAAATGAGAAGAAATCTTCTTTCCCTTCATTTTCTATTTATTTTTTCGTTTTGATTTGAATAATATGTTCTTTTTCGTTCTGTTTGAAGGGAAAACAACTTCAATTAAAGGTACACTACAAGTGTAACTTTTATTGAAATGTAAAAATAAACCGAACCTTTATTCAATCAACAACCATTTTTACCATGACTATACTACTTATTAAGTTCGGTTCAAAATAATATTTTAAAATGTAAGATTAAAAAAACTTTCATGTTTTTTTAAAAAAATGTATAACAATTTTTAGTAAACAAAATACACAACAAAACGATAACAAAATTCGTTATGACAACGAATTTAAAATAATTATTTATTGTAAGTTTGTATACCTTATTCTTATTTTATCTTATTTCATTAAGATGAATTAACGATATTTATTAAGTATATTTTATATTAATTATCGATATTATAAATGATGTTTAATTCCAACTGATTAAATAATTAGATATTTTAAATAAAAACATTTTTAAATGTGTTCAAACGTTAGAACGGCAATATTTGTTTTTTTTTGCTCTGTCACTATATGATTTATTATTATAAAAGTAAAGTTAACATTTTCGCTTTTTATTTCCCGATTATTTATGTTATTTAATTTCAATAAAACAAAATATTAATACTAAGAAGTTATATTAGAATGTGAGCAAATAACCGGGATTATTTACATTTCGATTTCGATTTTAAATTGCTGCTGCTGCTCAACACAACCACCCAAAATATTATTATGCAATTATTTTGTTTTTTATTTTTGGAGCAAATTATGTTTTTTTATTAGGAAGAAAAATTATTTTCTAAATATTTCATTTTTAATAATAATCGTCCGATATTTATTTCCTGAGTAAAAAAGCCAAAATATTCAACATAAATAGATTCACCATGATCGCCTTAATTAATAAAGTAAATGGAAAAAGTGGGATGCTGAGAAAAAAGGGGATGCTAATCTCAATATTAATTAATTTAATATTATTAATAATAAATAATTGATATATTTTTTTGGTTTTTTTATTTTATTGATTTTTTTATTAATAATTTATATTAAAATTAATAGTAATTTTACTATTTTTCAATTGAAATTAACCAATAGTTACGAGCATCCTCCTTTCTCTTGCATCCCCATATTTCCTCCTACTGTAATTATTTGTTTATAAATAGATATTTTTATTTTAAGAGGTGGTGAAATTAGTCGGTCCAAAAAACATTGATAAATATTTAAAAGACTTTCTATTTTTTTAAAAAACGTGTTGTTAAAAGGCTAAAAAAATACAAAATGTTCATAATTTAATTGTGTTTTATACTTGTTTTTGTTTTTTGGTTACGAGTAAATTGTAAAAAAAATATGGGTGCATAAAAAATTGCCACAAAAAAATAACACAGAAAAAAGGAATTGTGCCGATCTATAGATTTGTCTTACCATGTTTCAACACACTTTTTTTAAATGTGTGTTGAAAAAATAAATATTAAATTTACTATATTTGTAAATGGTATTGTTACAAAACAAAAAAACAACGACAATTATATGTTTTAAAAAAATAATAGTTGTTTTTTTAGTTTTAATTATATAAAAAACCAAGGTATTCCAAAAAGTGAGGTGTTGTTATCTTTTTTTACAAGAATCAATACATTACACCCCAAAAATAATTAGAGTTTGTTGTAGAGTGTTGTTCTTTTTATCAATTTATACACAAATAATTGTTTAAAACCCGGGAATTAGGAAAAAATTGGGAAAAAACTGAAACGACGATTTTTTTATATTTCGAATATGATCCCGATATTTTCCAATTTTCATTGACCAAAAAGCCCAGGACAACTTTTTTAGATTAATACTATAATGCAAATAATTATTTAAGGTATAAATAATGAACAAAAATTACATAAAACAACAACGAGTGGTTTTTCGGAACCGAAAAAATACCCACTGGTGTTAAATCAATAATTAATTAATCACAGTCAAATATTTACATTTTATTTTTGTTTTGGTGTGTGTTGATATTTATAATTATATTATAAAAATTTAAATTTAATTTATATTTTAGGTATAAAAACAAATTCAAACTGTTTGATATATAATGTACATTTTGTTTTTGTGTATACTGGCGAACGCTTTCACTCTGGGAGATGATCAACCAACAGACCAACAAGCTCTCGTCCAAGTAAGTCCTACCACGACTCCATTGCTTCCAATTACTCCACAAATGGGTGTGACGCTTGCAAAATCACAAGTTGCACAAAAGAATCCAAACTATGGAAAGGTTAAAAAAGACAAAAAGCCTAAAAAAGTAGCTGTAAAAATGTCCAAAGAAGAAAGAAAACTACTTTATAAACAAAAAGAAGAAGAGAAAAAAGCGAAAAAAGCTCAAGCAGATCCTTATGTACTTGAAGACGCTCATATGTGTGGTTCACAATATGATCCTTCTCAACCAAAAATGGATTATATCATGTTTGTTCAATTTTGGCCAGGAGTTTCTTGTACAGCTACGAATAAATGCACCATCCCTAAGGGTTCTAGCTACATAGCTGAAGGATTCCATGTTCATGGATTTTGGCCACAATTATACACAGGAAATGTTTTAAAATGTTGTGAAAAAAAATTTGATATTAAAGTAGTTGAACAATCAATGTTGGCTGATAAAGAACTTAGAAATGATATGTCAATGTATTGGTTTTCAAACGGAAAGTGCAGGTTCCCAATGTACGAATTTGATAAACACGGAACTTGTGCTTACTCCGTTTACACTGGAGAAAATGGTCCATTGGACTACTTAAAAACAGTGATGGACCTGAGAAAACGTGTTGATGTGTGGAAAATATTGCAAGACACATATAGTTATGTTCCTAATCAACAATATTTACTAAATGAAACGAGAGATAAAATTGCAAAAATGTATGGAGCCCCCCCAGCTTTCACTTGTGACGAAAATGGTGCAATGGGAGAACTTAGAATATGTTATGATATCAATGAAACAAATAAGTTTAACCCTACACCAAGAGCTTGCCCTCAAAACATATTAGACGCTGAAAAAGAACACTGTAAAGAAAAAATTTTCTTCGCTCCATTCCCAGAAGACTTTAAAAACGCAAATTCAAAGAAGAAAAATAACTGCGAGTACTAAATGTCTAATAACTTATCAATTTGATGAATTAATATTTACGTTTTGTTTTAACTTGTGAACGACTAACAAAACATAGTATTTTTTTAATAATTTTACTTATTATATGAGTTTCTATAGAATCTTTTCTAACTATTATAATTAAAGTCTTAAAAAAGTTAACTACTTAAAATTATTATCATGGGATTTTTTGACAATAAATTCAAGAAAATAATTGAATATAAAGGTGACCTTGAAGATTCATCAAAATGCTTGGGCTGACAATATTTATTTGAAGTCTAAAATAAATGTAAAATAATTAAGAATTGGTAACAAAAAGTTTGAAATGCGTGTCAAATAATTATAAATACTAAAAATAATTAATTAATTATTTTTTATGTTAAAAAAAATGATTACAAAAAACAATTTCAATAAAACCTCCCAAGAGTTGTACCTCTGAAGAGCGGGCATTTTATAGACTGAAACTCAAAATAGAGTTCTCTCGAGCGGTATTTATGGTTTGATTAAATAAAAATGCCCGCTCTTCAGAGAATATAATTCCACACTCCCTCCCACTCTTAAAAGGTTTTACTGTATTTAATAAACAAAAAAAATGATTGTATTTCTTTACGATATTCATATTTAAACAACTATATTTCATATTAAAATGTAGTTTTTGAAAATCACACACATAGTTATCAATGTGACAAGACATGGAATGATAAATAAATAATTAACAATCATGTTCAAATGTAATTGTTGATGTTAATATAAACCAAAGATAATATTTTTACATTTTTTTGATAATTGAATATACTTTTTATATTTAAAACAGGTGTGACCATTTTTATTGTGTAACTACATTTCAAAAAACGATTGTTTTTCAATAACTTATTGTTGATAATAACATGTAAATAACGTTATTTAATATATTTTATCCTTTTAATTTATTATGTCTGATTACACATAAATAGCACATTATGAAAATGACATCACAACTGTTTTTGAATTGTGAAATAATAACATGATAATACAGTTACTTTTAATGATTTTATTATGGTAATCAATATAAAATGGTTAGTTATATACTTTACATGTTCATTGTAAAAATGAATTAATTTATCAAACATGTAAACTTTTTGAGTGTGTAAACATATAATTTCAAACTACTTATATACAAAATTATTATAATATAAAAAGAACCTGAATTGTTATTTTCAACGACTTGTGGCTTAAACCTTTGTGTACATGTCATAAATAAATAAATAAATAAATAAATAAATAAATAAATAAATAAATAAATAAATAAATAAATAAATAATTTATTTATTGGTTAAAATAATCAACAACCACGTGAAGTTTGTTAATGATAAATAATAAGATGTATATGTGAACAAATTAAAAATGATGATAATAAACGAATTTGTATTTTTAGTTATTACATTCGTGTTGTCACTTAGATACAATTATATATATAACTATAAAAATTAAAATCATTTTTCTATTTTATTAATATTCAATTTGAAAGCAATTGAATTGTTATTAAATGTTTGTGTATTATTTAGATTATATGGGCACAGTATTTTATATCCAAAAGACAAATATTTTTGTTTTAATGCACTTTTATGCATGATCTATAATAATAACAAACTGTTATAATAGATAAATATGTTTAGAATTATTTTTTGTAATAATTATGAAAATGTATTCATTTTTGTTGAAACGACTTAGTATGTACCACAACAAAGAACTGAAATCAAATGTTTATTTTTTATTGTCTGCTTTTACTCCTTGATGATAAAATATTGATTTTTATATCTTATGTGTGAAAGAGCATCAAGTTATAAACAAAATTGTTCTAAACTGTGTTATTCTAGTAATTTTAGTCTAATTAATTAAGTTCTAGTTTGATTTTACACTTTTTCATATTAAAAATTTATCACTTTTTATTTTTCAATCTTTTATTTAAATGGAAATGTAGTGATTAACAATTAAACCTAATATATTATTTGTTGTTATTAGTTTATTAAAATTGATAATCAATTAATGTTTTTATTTAAGATAATCATGAAATTTGATGTTACTAAAATATATATATGTCAATAATGTATATTTTGTATGAATAATAAAAAAACGATAGTTAAGAAAAAATAATTGTAAATAACAATTTTTTAATATGTAATTATCAACAAAAAGTTGTTGAATGAAAATTGTGCACATCGACGTAGTTACACAATAAAATTGATGATAATTGTTTATTTTTTTATTTGTTTTTGTTTTAATGAGTATCAAAGTCATTACACAAAAGTTACTATTTACAATTAATAAAATCAATATAATAAACAACTATTATTTAAGTGGAAATTTAATTTGAGAATTACTTTTATATCAACATTGTTGTATATTTGATTTTTTGTTTATTTGAACGTTTATTTGTGTTGATAACTTTGTTATGAAAATTGATAACACGATCTGTTAAGTTTAATGATGATTATATATAATCAATTCAACAACGTGTAAATTCAGAAAAAAATGTGAAGTTTTAAAAAATATTTTTTTTGTTATTTGGTAAAGAGGAAAGTAAAATGCCGATTTACAAAAAAAGAATTAATTCGACCCAAAATATCTTAACATTACTTGGGTCGTGACAATCTCGAAGGTCACCTTAAATAATGAATAATTAAATCGGTTTTACACTCCTAAAATTAATAAACAGGAATGGTGAGTGGATTAACTCTGAATATAAGTTTTGACAAAAAAAAATAAACAATAAAATAATTACAGTACAGACTTTTGAATTTCGGTTAATAATCTTTTCATTTGTATCAAATAAAAACTTAAATTAAATCATAATCAATTGCAAATAAAATTTTTAAAAATATAATATTCTATGAATAACAAAACAAAGTTAAATAAAAATAATGTATATAACAATAATCAATTTCAAAATAATGGTTCGAGTTTGATCAAAACAATATTTATTTATAAATTATTATCATATAGAATAATAACAAAACATAACAAAAAACTTAATATTAATATCTATAATATCAATGAAATTGTTTTTTAAAATAAACATTTTTAGGTGAATGATTTGTTTTATTGCTAATCGACCATTTTTGATGCACTTTACTAGTAAATTCTTTTACATACTCAAAAACCCATTTATCTATTGTTGAAAGTTTTTAAGCATTTTTGTTTTTTTAAAAAATATTCAAAATTTAATTTTTTTAACATTACATTATTTTGTTAATCGTTATTAAACAACTAAAGTATTTAATTGGTATTTTCTATTTTTAGAGGTAGTAGTGGTTAATGTAAATCTTATAAAATTATATAATTTTATTTTTTTAAGATTTATACACAATTGGTTTTGTATTTTTAAAAAGGGTGTAATTTGATTCTTTTTCAAGATAAAAAATAAAAAATATTTAATTTTATAGATGTTTTTGAATTTGAAAAAAAATATTGATTGGTAATTGTGTAATGATCAAAACTTTTTTAATAAATTAAATTCATGTCTTTAATTTTTTGGGTGTTATATTATATTACACAACGTTCAGTTTTAAAAACAAAATTGAACAACCGATTATAAAAAATTACCTTTGTTTTTTATTCTTTCTTGAAACTTGTTTATCATATTTTTATGAAACTTGTGTTCTACTTTTTATTGTGTTGTTTGGTGCTTTATTCATCGGGCCATGAGAGTCTTTTTGTTGATGAATTTGATTTGACCGAGGAACTATCAACAACCGAAATAGAAGATAATGATTCGGGGTCTTTTGTTGCTTTATTTGATTCGGACGACGCTGACTTTGAATTATGTGAAGACCCCAAATTAAAAGAAATAGTTGCAAACTCAAAGAAAAACTTGGAAGAATCAGGGAATAAAATGAATGGAATTATGGGTGCTGTTCTAAAACATACAAACACCATTTCTAATATTACTGGCGCAAACGCAGGTATTTCTGGTGTCCTTGCTGCTATTCCGTCACCACTCACTCCTATTTTGGCGGGAATTTCAGTTGGAAGTGGGCATTTGGCGCTTTTGGCGAAAGGTGCACAAGTTGGCAAAGAACTTAAAGATACATTTGAAAGAAAAATTGATAAAATTAATAATGATGAGATAAGAAAAGGGAAAAAGGTATCTGATTCATTATTGGATCTTGGGAAGAGAGCCGGTAATTATGCTATTGACACTGCTGTTGATACAGTGAAGGAAACAACAAAAAATCTTGTGAAAGATGGAGTCAAAGGAGTTACAAAATTTGCATTGAGTAAAGCAGCAGAAGCAGTTGGTATAGATGAAGAAACTTCAGATAAACTAGCCGAAGGAACGACCTATTTACTCGGCAGAGCGGTGAATAAATTGGGTAAAAATATGATCGGGATTGTGGACGATCATATTGATAATATTGGAATAAATACTAAAAACCTTATAAAACGACAGATAAACACAGCAACTGGAGTTGATCTTGGTCAAGAAGATCTGAAAGAAGTTCGAAAGTATAAACCGATCACAAAAAGAAAAATAGCCAATTTTGTTGCCAATGAGATTAAAAATGCAACTTCTAAGTTAGCTGATAATGCGATCGACGAAGTAGTAGAATTTGGTGGGAAGTATGTAAAAAAGGCTGGAGAAAAAATAGGACTTGGAGAAGGAGTTAATACTTTCCTAACTGATCAAATAAAAGGAGTGGCTAAAATGGGGTTAAATGTTATTAAAGACAAAGCTACATCTGTTGTGAATAACGATATTGATGAAGGTAAGGAAAAAATACTAAATATGCTCGAAAAACACGATAAACACCCGGAATGATGAAGGTGCGTTATTTTAATATGAAAACTGGTAAGTCTATTGATAAATGGGTTAATAAAAAAGAACGGTTAGAAAAACTTAAGGCACGCGAAGCCAAGTTACAAAAGGAAGCAAAGGAAGTACAGAACATTGCAACAAAAACAGAAACAAACGCTCCCAAAATAATTGAAAAACAACCAGAAGTTAAAAATGAAGTAATACAAAGCAGACACCACCACATTAGATCACATAAAACAAATGGACTCAAAACAGAGAATAAGGACCAAACACCACAAATACCTCAAAATGCAGTTGCCTCAGAAACCAAACCCGAAGGAATGAAAAGTATGATACAAAGAGCACACCATATTGATGAATCAACATTGAAAGCCATGGAAAAAGAAAATGCTGCAAACGGAAAAAAAGAAGAACCACCAAAAAAATCAAAAAGGACTAAACTTGTTTTCATAATTAAACACAAGTCAAAAAGTAAGTAAAAGTTTCGAGTATTTGTTGTTTGAACGTTGGAAACAATGTCTATATACAAAATATTTTATTAAAGTTTAATGTTTATAAATCAACACTGTTAAGACATATGACTGGATGAGACCCATCCACTGGAAACATGTATCTATTTTTTCAATCCACTTGACAAACCACTTTTTAATGGATGGCAAAAATAAATTTCAATATAACTAGATTATTCATTTTTTATGTAAATAAAAATTTATTTTGCTGATTAATTTGTATTGATTTTTGTAAATTTAAAAACAATAAAGAAAGGTTTAAATATTTAAATATTAAAATTTGTATATTAATTATACAATAATTTTTTATTTAAATAAAAAAATGTAAGAATTATAATAAACAAATTTTAATATGTTCTTAAAAAGTAGATTATGTGGCTCTAATAACAAATAAAAAAGATCTATTTTACATATGAAACGTTTAAACATCACGCACAACGACGAAAATTTTGACTTTTTAAAACAAAAATTAGAATTGTTTGATAAAAAAAGTCAAAGAAATGGCAAAGAAACATTAAAAAACAAAATTGAAAAAATCGAGAAAAAATCGAGAAAAAATCGAGAAAAAATCGAGAAAAAATCGAGAAAAAATAGAAAAATAGAAAAATAGAAAAATAGAAAAATAGAAAAATAGAAAAATAGAAAAATAGAAAAAATAGAAAAAATAGAAAAAATAGAAAAAATAGAAAAAAGAAGCCAAAAAAGAAGTCAGAAAATACAACGAGAAAATACCAATTCCACTGGGTTTAGAGTTTAAAAACGACGTTCAAGATGTTCCAAAATTCAATCTACCATTAACCTGTCGATTACCTTTTGAAGAGAATCATATATTGAATGAAGAAGACGTTGAGTTAATTAAAATTAGTTCAAAAGAAAAAGTGACAAAAAGACACCAGAAGAAATACTTAAAAGATTAACAATGGAAGAAGACTATTGTAAATTTGAAAAAATTGAAATTGAAATGGAAAACAAAGAAGAAAAATAGAAAGAAGAGATGTAATGGATGGTATAGTTAATGATGATGTCCAAATGAAAGGATTGAGTGGCTTGATATTTTCACAATTTGATGAACTTCACAATATAATCAGATCTTCAGAAGTTGAATTTGTTCCAAATTGTGATTCACTTTTAAATAAGTTTGTGGTTCACTCTGAACCAAAAATAGAACACAAAAAGGGTTGAATACAAGAAGTCTTTTTTTATTTTCTTGTTTATTCTAAGAACGGGGCTTAATTATATACTCACATTTGTTCTTCTTAAACTTGAACGGTTCTCTCCAAATAGAGAAGCCGCCCCCAAAATTGACACCAATAGCACCCAAGTAGAAATAGAAATATATAAAAAATGGAAACATCGTTATCATAATAGGATGTCGTCATATGTTAGTGGGCAAGTCCTTCGTTTTTTAGACTTTTTGAAAACAATATTTATAAAAATATGATATTAAATATTGCTTCAAATCCCAAAACCTTTGTATCATTTGCAGTTGGCCAAAATGCCAGTATTTTAAGATCATTTAAAGATGCTGCAAAAGTATTCGCTGCTGTTGATTCTAAAACAATAGTCACTAATGCCACAAGAGTATTGCATAAAACACAGGATAACAGGATTATCAAAATAAGAAGTCCATTGTTTTATTCTGTAAAAACAAATTCATCTGGTATGAAATTTGAAACTGTAGTTAATAGAAATGATTTTGTGGTAATGACTACAGTGTGTGAAGCATCTATTTCAGATGTCAAGCTTTATGCTTGCAACCAAACATGTTTTGGTTTTGGAGATGGTTTAATATTAGGAGATAAAGGGTACACTTCAAAAGGTTTGACCAAAGTTATCGTACCATTGAAAAGAACAAAAAAATGATGAAAAACGACACAGTTTTAATTATTCCCACACCATAATGAGAAATATTGTCGAAAGGAGTTATGGAAGAATGTGTCAATTTTGGAGGTTTTTTAGAATGCCGTATCAATTTGACAAAGATTTGTTTGAGCACTATCTTCGTTGTGCTTGCGCCATTTTTAACTTTATGTTGACACATTACCCGATTACTGATGATTGTAATATTGAAAATACATATAATTTAACTAGTCTTTTTGATAAAAATATTGAAATTTATGAAAATGGCCAAATGGAATTACTTGATGTTGATCCATTAGAATATGACAAACACAAATAAGGTGATCACTATACACCTTTGAGTGATAATTTGTTTCATTTTATTTTTGAAAATGAAAACCAATGTTGTAAAATGGTTCAGAATGAAAAATATGGTGAATTGAAAGACAGCATTTGTTCAATAAATGAGACATTTGAATTAATTAAAGAAGAAATTAAAAACAACAAACAACCATTAATTGACAAAAAATCACTTGTGTATTTAATGAATGACGCAAAGAAAAGAATTGATGAATCAATAAAATTTATGTTTTTTGTAAAACAAATGTGTTCATCCAAATGTTTGTTTTTCGAAAGTGAAAAAATAGAAATTTCTACAATAAGTCAAAATATTGATGAGAGTAAAATAAATAGTGATTATTGTGAAGAAACACAACTGATTCCCAAAGATACAGAGATTGTATTGTCAGATTCTGAACTCATCACAACACCAACTTTTAAATCCAAAATTAAAACAATTGATAAAGATCGTTTTGTGTGTGGTATGTTGAATTCAGATGATATTTTTATGGAGCAGAGTGGATAATAAATAACACATCTTCAGAAGAGTGTTTTTTGTTCGATTGTTCTTTTACTTCTATTTGTCGTCTCGTTAAAAAGATTAATTCAAAACAAATAAATGAACACATACGAAAAAGTCATATATTGTTTTTTCCTTCATTTGTAATCAACAAAGAAAAAGAAAATTACAATACCGTTGGTCATTGATTTCTTTAAATTGGAATTATTGACAATAACGAACTATCGTTATTCAAACTAGACAGTTTGAAGAATTATTCGATTTGTTGTAGTGATCAAATTAAACAACAAGTAGAAACAATCAAAAACTACTTATGCCACATCGGAATAGTAATTGATAAAAATAAACCAATTAATGATATAAACGTGGCTCGACAAAAAGATGGGACAAGTTGTGGTCGATACATTTTGTATTATATGTTTAAAACAATAGAATACTGTGGAATCGTACAAGAATTGCTTGAGCATGTAGAACAAAAAGATATTAATACCTTTGTGGAACGCATTTTAATGTCATTTTAAATTATCATTTTTTTATTTCTGTTGAATAAATTATTTGATATTCAATGAACAAAACAAGCTTTTTGGTATTTTTGAAAAAAGA